CAGAAGCATGCAGGGTGAAATCACTGGTCTTCGGGAACTGAATTCGATCTCTATGCCTGTCCCATCTGTGGGGGTGGGGAGGGGAATGGGGTGGGGCTAGGGCTGAAAATCCCAAACATCTCGCCACAGTTGATTCCTGGGGTGACGCAGCCAGAGTTACCTCATTAACATAAGCTCAGGTTCAGTAGAGCTGGGCTCCTTGTAAATAACAAAAGATTCCCCCACTCAGGAAATTCCTGGGGTGTCAGGCTCTGCCTGCCAGGACCCAAGGCAAAGTCCACATAGATATATAGTTCTGTTCTACCACAGCCCCTCTGATCTTTCTTATTTAAATGCCGCGCTTTCAGAGGGGAATCTGTAGAGAGGTAGAAACTTATGAGACCTGGAGCCTCCCCTCCTCCCCTCCTTTCACCTTCGGCAGTCTTCAGAGTTAGCCTTTCTTTTCCTGGGCTCCCCTGCAACTCCTGCAGTCAGCATACAGTCTTTTGCTGTCTCCTCTCCAAGTGGGTCAGTGAGCTCGGGAGGGTCCAGCTTTCTGCTGTTTTTTGGTTTTTTTTTTGAGACATGGTCTCGCTTTGTAGTGCAGGCTAGCCTTGAACTCCAGGCGATCCTCCTGCCTCAGCCTCCCAAGTGCTGGGATTACAAGCATGAGCCATCACACCCAGCTCTGCTGGTCTTGACCCCATGACACTCACTAGAAGTCTAGGTAAGAACATCACTTGCTGCTTCTCCATTTGCGCCTAAAAAATAAAGCCCAGGGAGGGACTGAAGGTATAGCGCAGAGGTAGAGCTCTTGCTTAGCATGCATGAGGCCCTGGGCTCAATCCCCAGCCTCTCAAATACAATTAATACAAAATTAATTAATTTGTGAAAGCCTGGCTTCTTACAACCTGCCTTCCCTTCCTCTTAACTGGATGCTTTCTCTCTAGCCACAGGGAGCCTAGCCCTTGGGGTGTTGCCCTCCACATAGCCCAGGGCCTCCCCCGCCCCCCTCCGAAAGGTCAGTTGCTCTGCTCACTTGGCCCTGGGTCCTGAGCATGTACTGTGTCCTGTCTGCCAGGCCCTGTGCTGGGCGCCCAAAGGAACAACCTGTGCTCTTCACTCAGACAGGGGCTTCCTTCCTCTTCTTTACCGAATTCAGCAGGTGCCAGATCCTCCCAGACAGCCCCCTCCCTCCACTCTGTCCAGGCTGTGTCCTCCTGCCAGCCTCTCACCCACTTGGCACCTGGCACCGCTTCCTTGTTTTGACATCTTGCGGGTTTCTGACTCTTAGATCTCTTCCGTATGCTGAGCGTGCCTTGACTTTAGCCTCAGGCTCTGAGCACACTGTGGGGTCTCCAGGAGCGAGATGGCAAAGGAAATGAAGGAGACAGTTGGCTGCTGTGAGTGCAGGGAGGCTGCCAGTAGAAATGAGTTTGTCTAAGGAGCCTCTCCCCTCCCAGAAAGGCCCCACAGGGTCAAGCACCCAATCATACAGGGTGATTTCATTTAAAAAAAAAAAAAAAGAGAGAGCCGGGGATTTAGCTCAGTGGTTCCGCCCTGTGCCTTGCAAGCACAAGGTCCGGAGTTTGATCTCTGGTACCAAAAAAAAAAAAAAAAAGAGGTGTTGATGGACTTCTGTATTCTCAGCACTCTGGAAGACTGAGGCAGGAATGTCACAAGTTTGAGGCCAGCTTGGGCAACTTAGCGAGACATTATCCCACAAAACAAAAAGGGGCTGGGGATGTAGCTCAGTGGTAGAGTGTTTGCCTAGCATGCATCAAGGCCCAGTACTGTAAAACAAATGAGGCGAAGTGAGTATATACTAGCTGATAAATTTAAAACTGTCCTTTGTATTTATTTGTACTTTAAAAAAATTTTATAGTCTTTCTATCTGGACTGGGTTTCTGATTGGGAAGAAGGACTTGGAGCTGGGTCCCAGAGCACTTTACCCAAGACAGTGAAGCCTCAATCTTCCAGCCCAGAGGATGGTGGGGAGCTGAGGGAGAGGCCACTCCCAGCCCCCCTTGGCCACAGCCTGGCTCCACTTTCATGACGGCCTTCTGCACAGTTCCATTCTGGCTCTGGTTCCACGTGAACTTGTTGCTCTGGAAAAATGAACCAGTGGAGATGGAAATGTTACTGGAAGCAAGCACTAACAGTCTGTGTGCCTAGGAAGTGTGCCATCAGTATAGCCCATTCTAGAACATTCTCTCTGAGCTAGAAATGTGCTGAGAGCTTGACATACGTGGGTCCGTCCACTTCATCCTCGGAAGAGACTGGAAAGAAGTGTTAGGAGATCGTCCTTGCCGGACAGGCCAGAAGTAGAAGTAGATCTGTCAGACTCCAGAGCTTCTGGTCCCAAGGACTATCTGCCCTGCCACCACTTGGGATCCTTCAAATGCTTCAGGATGGCTCCCACATGGAGGCTACAATTGCATTCCCTGGAATGACCTGGTGAGGAAGAGCAGGGCAAGTTAACTGTGGAGTGGCAACCGGTTGTGGGTACGTGGCTCAGAATGCAGAGGTTCCACCGCCTGTCATGGATGCTGTGTAATCCCAGTGGGTTCTGGTTCTGCTGTTATGTTGCAGGTGGTGGCCCAGTGCTTAGCAATCTGAGAAGGAAGGGAGGGCAAGCCCAGACCAGAGAAACAAAGGGTCTCTCCTTTACCTAAAGAGTCCTTCTAATTGTTTATTTATTTGACTATTTATGTCTTTATTTATTTTGCTAATGACTGAACAGGAGCTTTAAGCATGCTAGGTAAACGTTCTACCACTGAGCAAAACCCCCTGTCTGTTGGCATCCATCCTACAGGGCAAATGGTGGAAGTAACCTGCTTAGGAAGAAACAGATCACCAGCAAAGCCAGGCTGGCCACTTTCTGATGCTGAGGCTCAGGCACCTGCTGGAGGCCCAGCCCCATTCCAGGGGGGTACACTGGGTACAAAAAATGGTGTTAAGACTGATTCTGACAAGCTGTGACACAGCGGAGAGGAGAGCCATGGAGGTGGCTCCGTAGCACAGTGTAGGCGGGCCAAGGGGTGGATGTGCTATAGGAGAGGATCCCTGGGCAGAGGAGTCTTGACAGGTGGTGAGAGGCCAGGGTGGATGGGCAGCAGGGTGGAAATGATGGGAAGGTGCCTAATGGAGCTGGTTGATGGAGAAGATAGCATTTCAGGAGCTTTTGTTTTGTTTTTTTGAGACAAAGTCTCACTATGTAGTTCAGGCTGGTCTTGAACTCACTAGATAGATAGACCAGGCTAGCCTAGAACTCATGGCAATCTTCCTGTCTCGGCCTCCCAAGTGCTGGGATCACAGGTGTATGCCACCACACCCAGCTTCAGGAGCTTTTTGAAGAGCTGAGTACTGGATGTATAGGAGACTCTAGGATACAATCCTGAGGCAGAAGTAGGATGAATTGGCTGGCCCCTCTTGTTTCAGAAGGGGGGGGGAGGAGGAAGGGGGAGGAGGGGGAAGAGGGGGAAGAGGAAGAAACTATCTTCAAATAAACAAACACCAAAACAAGTAAGCATCTGTCTCTGTAATAACTAAACCATAGTAGTAGGGGCTGGAGATGGAGCTCAGTGGGCAGAGCACTCAGCCTAGTGTGTATGAAGCCCGGATTCAACCCCTAGCATTGAGGGAAAATAAGGTAGTAATAAAAATAGAAACATTAGTAATTAGAATGTCAAATGACCAAACCTCCAAAAATCTGTGGTCCATTCACTGTGAGGAATTGACTTGTTAGGATCATGCAGGAGAGGGAGCCAAGATGGTAGCCTGTCAGTCAGGGTCCTACCTCAGTAATTCTGTAGCACTGATGAGATGACATTATCAAGGAATCCTTTTAAAACTGAATGAGTTGGTTCATATTCATTAACTCATTTCAAGACTGACAGCCGTGAAGCTGGTGTGTGTGTGTGTGTGTGTGTGGTGTGTTTGGGTTTCTGTATTTACTTATTTATTTGTTTTGAGATAGGTTCTTGCTATGCTGCATGGGCTGCCTTCAAACTTGTGATCCTCCTGCCTCTGTCTCCCCAGTGACAGGACTGCAGGTGTGCACCTCCGTGCCCAGCAGTTTCGATAGTGGTTACTTTCTTTTCTCTTTTTCTCCTGGAAGAGCCTGGGCTTTTGTCACCACACCACAATTCACAACAGCTCAAATCCCTTGAGGACTAAGGTAGCTGGAAATGAATCAAAGAATAAGTGAAATACATACACAGGTAAACTGTTAATCTGGCACTCAGTATGTTCTCAGTAAATCTCAAGGAAGCAGTTGATAGTTGTGGTTTAAAAGGTAAACTGTGGCACTGGACTATGTTGGAATCTGACCCTGACATTTACCAATGTGTCATCTTGGGCAGGTCACTCTGTGCCTCGGTTTCCACCTTTGTAAACGGGGATTAGTAACAGCTTTAAACTCACAGAGTTGTTATGAGGATTAAAGGAATGAATCCATTTTTTTGTTTGTTTCTTTTTTGGTATCGGGGATTGAACTCAGGTCCTTGCGCTTGTGAAGCAGAGGGTGAAACCACTGAGCTAAATCCCCAGCCCTGTTTGTTTTTTGAGACAGGGTGTTGCACTTAGTTCAGGCTGGCCTCGAACTCGTGGTGATCCTCCTGCCTCAGCCTCCCCAGTGCTGGGATTACAGGCACCACCATTCCCTGCTCTGAATTAATTTTGTTGTTGTTGAGATGCTGAGATAGAGCCAAGGGATTTATTTGCTAGGCAAGTGCTCTACCACTAACCTACATTAATTGCATATTTCAAAATACTGTAGTTTACTAGCTGCAAGAAGGGTGGTGTACACCTGCAAACTCAGATATGAGGGAGGCTGGGACAGGAGGATAGTAAGTTTGAGGGTATTTTGGGCAACTAAGCGAGGAGATGTCTCAAAACAAGAAACAAAAGAGAGATGGAGTATAGCTCAGTGGTGGAGCACCCCTGGGTCCAACCCCCTGTACGAGAAAAATCACACATGAAACCAAAAAACTAGTAGAGCAGTTCTTAAGACAAAGAAATGATGATAACTGTCCCCGGTGATACATATGCCAATTACCCTTATTTGATCATTACACATTGCACGTTTTGAAATGTCACACAGTACCTCTTAAATAGTACATGATAATACGTCAATAAAAGCCTAATTAAAAATCTCCTCTAGGGAATCTCGCCTGAAGTCCCAGTATAGCTCCTTAAAAGGTAAAGACCTTTGACATTTTCTGCTCAGGTCTTTTAAATTCTTTTATTACCCTCTCTCAGCATCCTGTAGTGCTTTCAGGGAGCCAGATCTTGAGCTGTGAATCTGTCCTCGGCCTCTGGCATTTTCTCTTTCTCCCCTATACTCGCCTAGGCGGCCTCGCTCGCCTCTCCTTTCCCTGGGTCCCGCGTCCCAGACGCGCTACACCCACTTTCCCATCTCGAGGACTGGTCCAGAAAACTCATAGGGAGCGCAGGTACGACACTCTTTCCAGGGAGAGCAGCAGACCTCAGCCGTGACTCTGCACAGGTGGAATTTGGGGCGCTGGAACACGCGCAGCGACGGAGCGGGGTCTCCCTGGCAGACAGTCTCACCAGCAGGTGGCGCGCTATCCGCAAGGCCTGCGAGGTTCCCCTGCAGAAACTTGAACAGGATGTTGGTGCCACGGCTCGAGAGGAGCACAGCCCGGTCTTTCTGAGCCGAGCTGTTCGCTTCGGCGGAAAAGTGAAGAGAGAAGGGAGCAGCCTCCCTGCTTCAGTGACTCAGTATCAGACATTGCGTGCTTCATTCGGGAAGGCGTCGGGAGGGAGTGAGTACTGGGCAGCGTACGGGAAAGGGAGCGCTGTCCTCTTCTTAAGGCACTGTCCTTGGCTTGCATAGACTGGCTTTCCTACCCTCCGGGATAGACATTTCTAGAAGGGAGCTCCCTGAACCGAAGGAAAGCGCGCGGGAAAGAAGCCCGGGAAGCCGGCTTCGCGGAGTCCGCACTCTGCAGCGGGAGGAGCGTAGGTTCTTGACGCCAGATGGCGCTACCTGATTTTCTCCCGGCTTCCGACCCCAATCTTCAGAGGCTGCCGCCGCAGTGGATTCTCTAGCCGGCCGGCGCAGGCTCTGTGGTTCCGGGCGGAAGTGAGGCGCAGAGCGGAACGGCCTCTGGTGACATTTTCTTGGGGCGGCGCGGACGACTGAAGGGAATTGGTGGCGGAGGCCCCGGAGGCGGCGAGGTTCACTTTGGCCCCCGCGGGGGCTGTGACCGCGACTCTCTGCTCACTGCGGCGGCTTGTGCCAAGGAGGAGAAAGCGGCGGTGGCCGTCGCTTTCCCAGTCACCGCGGCCGGGGGTTGGTGCGTGCCCCGACGGGGCGCGCGGACCGGGCAAGGAGCTACGGAGCGGCCGCGGCTCGCAGGTGAGGCGGGAAGGGGCACAGGGCCACGGCCTGGCCGCCCGTCGGACTGCGGGGCCTGGGCTGCGTCCCAGGGAGGGGTGGGGCGAGGCGGAGCGTGCGGGCCGCGGGTGAGGGCTCTGCGGTCCCTGCCGTGGGGTCACAGTGGGCCCAGCTGGGGCGCGCCGGATTCGCTCCCGAAGTTGGAGGGAGGCGCGGCCCGCGAGGGGGCCGAACAGCCCCGGCTCCACTGTCGCCCGTCCGCCTGCTTGCCGCTCGTGACCCGTGCGTCCTCCCGGCCGCCGGGGCTGAGTGTGGGCTGGAGGGACTGCAGCCCCCTGGCCTCGCTGGGGAGCGGCTCCGTCGCCCTGGAATTGTCTTCGCCCAACTTTCGTCTCCTGGCCGCGAGGGAAGCAGAGGCAGCGGCTCCGCCAACTCAGCGAGCGGGGTCTGGCGCGGACACCTGCCGCTGTCTCGGAGAGCCGGGCCGCCTCTCCAGTGCCGCGCTGCCGAGGCCTGGGAGGAGCCAGAAAAGGCTTTCTTAGGCTTGGTGCTGCCTTCCTCTTGGCGCTTGCACCACCGTCGGTCCGCAGACCCCTTGGGTCAATGGGAGAGAGGTATCGTCTCCAAAAATCGACCTCTTTCGGGGAGTGTGTCAACTTTCATTAAAAGCTGGCGAGGTTGTCAAACTGACGATTCCCGGGTGAAGACTCTAGCCTATTCCGATTTCCCTAGTAGTGTTTATTTTTCATGGCAGTGATCTCAGTGTATTGTCTATGCAGCAGCTCCTCTCGGAACCTATGTCTTTCGTTTTCATTTTTAATTACTCATGTATTTATCTTTGCGGTACTGGGGCTTGAACCCAGAGTCTCATTAGGCAAGCCTTGCAGCCCTATTCTTTTACCAGCTTTTTTTTTTTTTTTTTGGTACAGCCCTATTCTTTTAAATTGCCCTGTTCCCATCACAAACTAGATGCTCACAAGTTTGAAGGAAAGAAATTGGTTCTTTCCTTTCCAAATCTTCCACAGCTTGAGCATTTTATGCTTAAATGTGCTTTTCGTGTTTTGCATGAGCTTTTACTTTCTGAATCCTTCCGCCGAGTTGGAGGCAAATCCCACTGATGATGCTTTATCAAGGCTGGACCTCTTTTTTTTTTTTTGGTACCGGGGATTGAACTCTGTTCCTTGCACTTGTGAAGCAGGTGGCAGAACCACTGAGCTAAATCCCCAGCCCTGGACCTCTTAATTACAAATGCATCTGGCAGTTTTGCTTAGGCTGTTATTGTGTAGTGTTGTTGGGCACATGCTAATAGTTTGAATCACTCCCTTCCTTCTCTTGGGGTGTTTTAAGGATGGAGGCTATTAATTTTCTAATGTACTTTTGCTGATCCTGGCAGTCTGGATTTCTCCACTCCTCAGAGCATAGCCTTTTTTGGTTTAACAAGCATACTTAGAAACCTACAATTAATAGTTACCTGGTGCCCTATGATTATCTTTATTTTTAAAGTAGAAAGTAAAATATTTTGGATGAATCATGTCCAACACAATGTGTAGTTGAGCACGCTGAACAGTAGGTGCTCAGTAAATGTACAATTATGAATTTTGAATTCATGAGGGCAAGATAGAATTGACTTTAATGACCTTTATCCTATTTTCAAAAGAACTTGGGTGAAATTTCATTCATTAAGTGAGAGTTTTCTTTTTTAAACTTCTAAATCAGGTTTGTTTTTAGAGTGCTTTTCAGTAACCGTATATTATTTGGCTTTTTGAAAATGGATCTTGCTATCTACCCTAGGTTGGCATCCAACTGGAGATCTTCCTGTCTTAGCCTCCCAAGTGCTGGGATTACAGGCTTGTACCACCACACCCTCTTAATACCTTATTCTTAAAACTTCAAACCACATCTTTTCCATAATGTTTCAATATTATAGATGTAAACATCAAAATAGGTATATAGAGTCTGAAAGGTGAGCAGAAACCTCCAGGTAGTTATAGCTAAAGCACCAATTAAATCAGATTTCTTAACAGGAATTTTTTTCCTGAATAGTTTTTTAAAAATTATTATTTTGTTTTTGTTTTTGGAGACAAGGTCTCCCTATGTAGTTCAGGCTGGCTTTGAACTTACTTTGTAGCCCAAGCTGACCTGGAACTCAATTCCCTTGTTGGGGCCTCCTGAGTGCTGGGCTACAGGCATCCCTGCCGGGCCCTGCTCTGAACTTTTGTGGAGAATGAGATGGACTGGATTTTGGAGCTGGAAACACTTTCTATTGTTAGCTTCTTATTAACTTGACAGTGTATTTGTCATGTTACTCACTAATTCAGTTTATTTTACATTATTTTTTGGTGGTGGGGATTGAACCCGCGAAGCTGTGAGTTATATCTCCAGCCCTTGTATTTTGAACTAACTTGTTACTGATTTGCTCAGTCTAGCCTCAAACTTCTGATTCTCCTGCCTCAACCTCCTGCATGGCTCCGTTTATATTATCATAGGTGTGTGCCACAAGGCATGGCTCATGTTTTTTATTTCTTTAGATGGGGTCTCAACTAAGTTGTCCACGCTGCCCATGAATTTGCCCAAGTAGCTGGTATTACAACTGTGTGTCACCATGGCTGGCATTTTTTCACTTTTAATCTTACATTGACATTATTACTTTATTTTTTGTGGTGGTGGGGATGCCCAAGTGCTCTACTATTGAGCTGTATCCCCGGCCTGACACTGGTATTTAAATCTCTTTGCTGTGTATATATGACTAGTAACTTCTGTGAGCTTATGTATTAAGTCATTATTCAAGGTGCTGTTTCGCTGGGATCTCCACTTTGAAGGTTTTATTCTGACATGTACAAGGATTTCATTATTATTATTATTTTTGTGGTACTAGGGATTAAATTCAGGGCCTTGCTCATGTGAGGAAAGCCAGCTGTCAACTTGATTTATAGGCAGTTTGAGTACTTTTTTCTTTTTGTTTCTTTTTGAAGTTCAGTGTTGGTATATACTATAGACCTAAACCTTATATTTAGTAACTTTGGTTAGTTATCTTAGACATTCCTCATTTTCCTGCCTGTAACTAGAGCTATGAAGATAACGTATGTTGTGTTTACTGAATTGACAATTCTTGGGAACACCTGTAAAAGTTTAAAAATATATTGTTGAACGTGCTTTTTAAAGCATACTAGATTAACTGTAGTTGTATAGGCAAATTGAGATAGATGTATAATGTGAGTAAGAAGCTGTGAGACTATAGAAGGGGAAGAACTATTTTTTTTTTTTAGAACTATTGTTAAGGACAGAAAAAATATTTATGTGCAACCACTTTATTCTCCCAGCACTAATTTATTGATTTCCTACTGTGTGCCAGCAGTTCTGTAACTGCCAGAGCTGTGGTGAAAACTGAGACTGAGACCAACAAAATTCTGGCACTCAAAAGACCTTCAGCATTTAAACCTGAGGTTTGAGATGTGTTTTCAGATGAGCATTCCAGCTTAGAGAACAGCTATAAGTAAAGTCATGAGTATCAAGCTATTGAATGGCCTAGTTGGGCTAGTTCAAAGATGGAGAACATAGGGCATGCATGTTGTTTTTTTTTAAGACAAAAGGTGTTAAAGTATGAGTTTTTTTCTAAACTAAAACCTCAGTGTTCAGGTTTAATTGCAGTGTTGGCACTTTGAGATAAGTGAGTGAGTTTTGGGTTGCAGTTTGGGCATTTGTCTCTAGAAGGTATGCCATCACTAGTAGTTCCCTTGAGTGTTCAGAGGGATGGAGAAGGTCGATTGAGATAGAGCAAATTTCCTTCTTTCTTTCTTACTTATTTTTGTTTGTTTTGAGACAGGGTAATTCAGTCTATGTAGTTTAGGCTGGCCTTGATGATTTTCCTGCCTCAGCCTCCCAAGTGCTGGGAGATTACAGGCATGTGCCACTATGCCCAGCTATTTTTGTTTTTTTGAGACAGGAACTCATGTAGTTAGGCAAACCTTGAGCTTACTATGTACCTCAGGCTGGCCTCTGTCTTACTCAGGGTGATCTGCCTCCCAAGTGCTAGGATTACAGGTGTGTGCCACCATGCCTAGGTGAATTTTCTTTTAGAGGGAAACTGAGGTGGAATATAAAGGATGAGATAGGTATTCTTTTTAAAGACTTTTCTTCATCCTAAAAGTTTGGTGAATAGAAATTGTATTGGTCCTTTTTTTTTTTTTTTGAGACAGTGTCTCACTGTGTAGTTCAGGCTGACCTTGAACTTGTGGCAATCCTCCTGCCTCACCCTCCTGAGTCTGGGAGTTATAGGCACTCCAGTTGGTTTTATTTATTTTATCATATATAGAGATGAGGGGATGTATCTGTCTGTCTATCTATCAATTGATCAGTTGCTTGTTTGTTTAAGTAAGGTTTCGCTATGTAGTCCAGGCTTGCCTTGAACTCACTATGTAATTTAGG